TATATTACTTTCTTCAAAGTTCCTATAATTATTGATCATTTCCTAGTAAGGGATCCTTCCTCCTCTCCTCCAAGGCCTTCCTCGAAATCTCCTTTGAAATGTAGGGAATCCACTATTTGATCCCTCATCGTATGAAAGTCTGTCGAAAACATCATTATTTTGAAGTCTGGCCCTTCCTTCCCGGGGAGAATACATTTCTTTCCTAACCCATTGTTTCTGGTTTCTACTAGCTCCAGAATCAACAGATTTCTGCTGACTCTTCCCAACCGTGATTTGGACTGTTTGATCTACTTTATCATTGCAATTCTTATGTTGATCCTCTACTTTCTTGATCTGTCTTGCCCTGAAGGCTTTAGCAGTTGATCTGTTGAACACCGCACTGCATCGTGGACATAATGTCACACCTTCGTCCTTCTCTTTCTTTCTGTTCAAAAATTCAACGAGGGAATCTTCTGATCGAGGATAAATCTCTCTCTCGAACTCGATTAGGTCAAACTCTATGTCTTCTTCTGATGTGTCCATTCTGACATGTCTGGGATCGATATCTTCAGTAACATCGACCATTCCTATGAAGGTCAAATTTACCAATCGGACATCTTCAGTCATGCCCGTTTTGGATTCGACGTACCCTACTTGAACTTCAAATGGACTCGTATCCACTTTCATTGACATTTCCTCAAACTTCAATCTTCCTTGGTCGATCGCATCTTGGATCGTGTTCTTGAAATGTATACAATTATTAGTCCAATGTTCATAAATATTATGAAATTTGCAATATTTTCGACCATTTCTTTGTTCTGCAGAAGGTAATTTGTGATCATCACTCAACTTAATTTGTTTATCTTTCAATAAAATATCGAAGATTTTATCTGCCTTTGTTACATCAAAAGTATATGTGCGATTTGCCATTTTGTCTTTTACTTCATTTTTTTGTAACAATTTACAGACATACGGGGCTTCTACTTTAAGCTTTGCTATATTTACTTTCTCATCGACAGATTCTTTAATATCTACTTCTATCCCGGGATTTTCTTCATATATGTCATTTATATATGCTACCCTTTCTTTCTTCATAGGTTTCTCAAACTTCTTGTACCTTTGTTTTTCATATTCGATTTGTTATATTCTTCTCACTTTATCGGCTAGCTGAGCCATGTCGTTCAACGGTAAATTAACTAACTTTTTCCTAATCGAGAATTCTAAGCCTGCAGAGGCCATTCTGACTAATTCAAATTCGAGAATTTGAGTAAAACATATTGACTTCATTTGTCTAAATCTATTCAAATAATCATCCACGCTTTCATGGTTGTATCTCTTTATGTTCATTAAATCGATGAGACTTACTTGAGTCTCTCCCCTAAAGAATTACTCATGAAAATTTCTTTCCAGTTGCAACCAATTATATATCGAATTAGGTGGAAGTAAAGTAAACCAAGAAAAAGCATTCTTTGTTAATGAACTAGGAAAGTATTTCATTTTTAGTTCTTCACTCATTGCTAGGTCACCACATTCGATTTGATATCGCGCTACATGCTCGATAGTGGACTCACCAATTTCTCCAGCAAATTTGGTGAATTTGGGTATTTTGTATCCTCGGGGTAATTCTGTCTCGAGGATCGTATTTGAAAAGGGAGAAACAAAGTACAGTTGATTAGGTGGTCTTAATTCCACTCCTTGGTGATTCATCCTTTGTCCCAGCATGTGATTGTACTGCATGTTATTTTGATTATACATGTTTTGGAATCCCTCATTCACATTCTGTAAGTATCATTCCTCACATGCTGATATTCATTCTCCACATGCTGATGTTGATCATTGTTTTGATTTCTCCTTAATAAATAAAGGGGATTGATATTAGCGTTTTGGTTACTGTTCTGATTGGCGTTATTTTCGACCCTCGTTTGTCGAGGTATGACCAATGCATCCCCGATACGTGACATTTGGTCTGCTAATATCTCGAAACTAGTGGTAGTGTTTTGAACTAATGGGCGTAGTTTTGTAGTCAATTGTTGTGATAACACGTTAACCATCTCAAAATTGCTTTCATCCATTTGTTGCCGAAGCACTCCTAATGAATTACTGGAAATTCCAGTACCAGCATTTTTTATAGTCTCGAGATTGGATCGGTGATAATCTCTATCGAATGCATATCACCCGTGATCCAGATTTACTCTGTGATCTAGATTAGATACTGGAGGCGTCTGTTGTGTCCCTAAAGTCTGCGCACTCCCTGAATTCTGAGGTGTTACCAAGTTTTGAGATACCCCTAAATTTGGGGGTGCTCCGAAATTTTGAGGCATACCTAAGTTTTGGGGCATTCCTAAGTTAAATCTCGTACTTCGTTGTATTAAAGAAGTACTAGCCCCATTCATATTATTAAACGAAAAACCAGGTGGCCTTGCACTCATATGTGGACCTGCATATGTTGTTACGGGGTTTCCCGTGGTTTGCATATTGTTTGACATTACAATATTATATCCTAACTGAGTGTTTGCTAAAGTGCCTGGGCTTTGTTCAGTGCTTACGGGCATCGATGTACTTACAGTCGTCGATATCACAAGCATATTCCCATTGTGAACTTGCCCCCCAGTGTTTGATGAACTGTTTAGGGTCTCACTATTACTATGATTATTTGGTGGATTTTGACTCATTCTTACTACTCGCTCGCTTCTTAATCTCATACACTTTCGAACTAACCAATTTTGTTGTGTCTCCTCCACACAATTACCCCCCCTACCTGGCGCGCCAATTTGTTTCTGGTGGAAATTTGATTGATTTCGATTCCTCGGAGACTTCGGTTCTAACCAAATTTCAACCACGTAAATTCTTTTTACTCAGGCTAGCAAATGATTTTCAATCGAAATGTGTATGAGAATCGAAAATCCCACAGTATCGGGAAATGCTCACAACGTAACCTAGCATGTAGATTGACAATCGAAAGTACTATTTTTTGGTGTTTTTTATTAAGAGACTTCAAAGTAAAGGAAGCAGTAAAATGTGTCGAATCGAAAAACAGTGTAGAAACATTAAATTGCAGAAAAATGTAAAATGTGGAAAGCTCAAATTGCTTTAAATGTAAACGGCAAGAAATTGAAATTGCAGAAATGTAAATAACAGGAAATCGAAATTGCAAAAACAATAAATGCAGGAAAATTTAAGTACAGAATCTTATATTGCATTGAAGGTAAATGACAACATTTAAAGTACAAGAACTTAAATTGATGAATGTAAATAAGTTACCAAGGGAAGTAAAGAAAACGGTAAAATCAATCAATGAGAATGAAAATCCAGATCGCCAGAAACTTCATGATTCGTCGTCCTCCGGTAGACTTTTCACTTATGCTTCTGTTGTCTCTGTCAATTTCCCCTTCTTCTTCATGCTTCGTTCTATTTATAGGTATCCTTCAATATAACCTCCCAAGAGCAATTAAAAAACTGCCAACACGTTCCATGTGCACGTCCTTTGATTTCTAACCTTGGCCACAATGTGAAAAGCCTCCTCTTTATGTTCCATATGCATGATAATCTTTTTCCCTTAATCTCGATTTCAGTTACCAAATACGATTTCCCCTAACCTTGATTTTGCACTATTACTTCTATCGATTTTCCTCTCTTTTTTTATTCTCGATTCTCATTCTCGATTTATGCGTTCATGCTATATCGTGGTCACTAGGTATCTTCCAACCATCCTTCCGATTTATCAGCTTTTTAACCAATCATATGATCTTCCATTTTCTCTCTTCTGTTATTCGATTATTATATCAATTTCTCACTAACAGTAGGATAAGAATAAAATGAATTAAGTTTAGATATATAGTTACTTCTGCAAAATTACAATTAGCCTCGTTTTGTCTCGATATCATTTAAATTGGGGACACAATGTCAATATTTCATAGTCCTAAAATAAGACATATTTTGATTTCTGAAGCACAACATAGTTAACTGTAGTTAAAAATTTAGAATAGCTTACGTTGCTTTCTGGGATAGAAAATAAAAAAGCATTAGCACCAATTGAAGTGCATCACATGTCAACCTAATTTATTTGTTGTCAATCTCTTAATTTGTACTATTACACTGAAATTATTAACTTTAAAAACAATTAAAGAACTTAAATGTCTTTATTTTAAAATAACATACTAAAATTACGGATTAAAAAGACACTAAAATTGTATTTTATAAGAAAAAAAGAAGGCTCCTAGTTTTGTTCTTTACAAAGGCCTGGACAATAATCAGGATTTGAATACCAAATTGCAAAATCATAGATATATAAATGAGAAAATACATACCCTAAATCAACAATTATAATGCTGATATTATCCCGTGTACGTTGATCCTGCAGTGAATATCATTATATTACTAAAAACTTTCAAGTGTCAATAGGATATGTTCGTGATGATAACTGTTATGTAGCTGAATATGAAACAAAGAGCAAACAAAATAGTATACCTGAATTTGTTATGTGGTTTAACATATGCATAACCTCATTCGTTATCCCTTAAAAATCAAAGATGTTAGGAACATGAAAAAAGTATCCTCAGTCGTTCAAGTTCAATGGGATGCAGAGTTATTATCCGTTGTTAAAAAATAAGGCTATAATTAGCCTTCAATATCTCTCTCTCTTCTGTTCTTCGAAATATCTTCATGTATCTTATTGCTAAACCATCTTCAAAAACACCACATAATAAAATACATTAAGAGAAAACCACAGTTAAGAGCTGAGAGTAGCCAGCAACTGTCGGTCGAAAACTTTGCCACTGGTTAGGAATCGGCATCAATAAATGCTCCTAACACGAAGTTGGAGTAAAAATCATCTGAAAAATAAAAAATACAAAAAAATATAGCGAAAATTCTCTTTGCTGAATCTTTATACAAAAACAATCTTTTGACAATCAATTTCCAAACATCTTTTTGACAATTGGGGTCAAAATGTTAATTGTTTAAAAATGAGAATGTGATTTGTAATTTAAAAGAGTAAAGAGCAAAATTATTAAAATGAAGGGATGGAGAATCGTTCGTCACTCTATCGTCTGCTCGAACTCTCTCGTCGCTCTCTCGTCTACTCCAACTCTCTCATCCCTTTCTTGTGCAGTGTGTTTTGTTTAGGGTTTCTGCTCCAACTCTATTGTCACTCTCTCATCCATTTTGTTTAGGGTTTTTACTCCGTGAGTGTCATCATCGTTTTGGTCAGAGTACTAGTTCTGTGAGTCGTGAACATCGATTTCGTGAGTCTTTGAATTTTTTGTGACCCTTGCGATGAGTCTTTGACTATTTTGCGACCCCTACAGTGAGTCTTCAACTTTTTTGCGACCCTGCGTTGAGTCTTAGTCTGTTTTGCGAAAACTGTTTTCATTGTATATTAATGTCCAACATGTACTTGATGAAATAGTAAGCAAAAATATGTTCTGAAAGACTTGTAATTGAAATATGCTGAAATATTGAATGACTATATTCCTTATCTCATATGCTTCACTCTTTTTAGTACAATAAATTTTGTCAGTTAACTTGTGTTTACTTAATGGAATACGAAAACGATCTTTTATGTGTAACGGTATATTTTGTTGAAATCATATTGTGTTTATGTAAATGTATATTCTGTTGAGTCCATTAAGCAAATTGTGTTTATGAAAACCAATTGTGATTGAAAAATTATAATCACTTGTATATTCGGTTGAAATTGGGTTTGCTTAATGGTTGTAATTGTATATTCTGTTGAAATTGGGTTTGCTTAATGGACTCCTGGTACGTTGATAACACATATTGGCTAGAAACTGAATAGTTAAGTTTTTTCCCATTGAATTTCTTGATAATTTAGTGTGATAAAATAATATGTCGTACTTTGTTTGCAGAATTTAATGATGATTACACGAAGGAATTGGAGGAAGCTTGCAGAACCAGAACCATGGTCGAAGTTCCTTGACCTTCTAAAGAAGGATATCACGAAAAAATGTCTAAGATTAGGGGAAAGTAGATATCCTATGAGCAGGACACAATAAATCAATTTCTTGGAGCCCCATGGAATTGAATGGAAGTGAGCTATGCACATATGAAAGGATCCGTAGAGTCAGGACCTTAACACAAAGAAAAATCGACAATGATGAAACTCAACGTAAATCGACAATGATGAAGTAACTCAACGTTTGTGTATCCTAGAGAGAACCTAGGAGACAAATCATGCTGACAAACCATTGAGAATCCTGAGCGGAAATATGACAATGATCACACAAATCTGGACTTCTTTTTTGTTAGCCAAAATTGTAGCCCTCTTAATATGGCGAGATGTCTCTATTGTTCCTTTATTATTTCATTGCTAATGGATTAATAAAAAATAAATTTCATAATAATTTTTTCTAATTAATTGTTAAATTTGTTGTAGTGCCTAATCATATATAAGAAACATGTTGTGTCTAGAAGTAGTATTAAAGTTGAGTATGGAGTATTAGAAGTTGTGAGAGAAGAAATAATGTGGATAAAATCTTGCTCACAAAGTGAATAAGAACACCAATGCATATATAATAAAGACAAAACTTGAAGACTGATGAGTCAAAAAGCGATTCCAAGGTAGATACACTCAGCAGTGTACATAAACATAACTAACTCGCACGGTACATAGGCCATTTTTTTTTATTTAGTTGTTTATTTATTATTACTATTATTAAATTGAAATTCAAAATTTATTTTGTTATTATTTCATAAGATGGCCACACATGACATATACCATCATGCATATGCTTGTTGCTTAAGATGATTGATACTGAGACTGATCACCGTTGACCAAAGGGCCCCGGTTTCCATTGTACTTAAGATCACTCACTTGAGTCTGTGGAATTTTGTAAATATTGGCAAGAACCTCAGAGGGGAATGCCCTAAATGTCTCCTTCAAGTAGCTGGTGACGGCATTGTGGTTTGTCTTGAACACTACGTACTCAAATCCTTCTTCTCCAGCTTCTTCTGCCACCATAAAGTTCTGTGGCACCACCAGCAACTGTCCCTTCCCTAGTTCACCGTCGAACACCGTCATCCCTTCGCTGTTCACCACTTTAACTTGCCCTCGCCCTCGGATCCCGTACATCGCACTGTTTGCATTCAGATTCCAATGGGGAGCGTATATTCCATTCTGCATGGTTATAAAACATAATATATATGTTCATATTTTTATACAAGTAAGTGCTAGAACGAGAAAAATTCCATTACTATCAAATATGACATATAAGATCATTATTGTTCTTTCTTGTACTTCTTTCTCTGGGGATGTAAACTGAGACTGGAATATCCACAACACTTTTCTAATACATGTGTACGTATGTACGTTAATTTCATGCATATGAGTAATATGGTGAAGTGAAATACGTACCTTGTAGAGGACAACATATTGGGCACTAAGTCCAAAATTGTAGAGAGCTGGGAGAGTTAAGCTGTTGAGATTGTTGATGCGACCAGCTTTAGGGTTGTAGAAGTCAGCGCTTGAAGGGCGAGCAATGTTGTGAACAAGCTTCAAGGTGCAGAGTGTTTCGTCAACCCCGTTAGATCCATGTGGCTTGTCTTTACTTTGTCTTGTCTCCCATTGTTTGATTGATTCTCCACTTTCTACTTCTTGTGCTGGTTCTGTCCAACTCTTTTCGTGGTGGGTCTTGTATCTCGCTGACTCATCATATCCCTCGTCCACATCTTTGTGTCCTTCTCCTCTGGGGCTTGGGGTTGGTCCTCGTGTGCGGGGACTGCGGGGACTGCGAGGCTTGTATTCGTCTTCGTCTTCGTCTTCGTATACATGCTTGTGATGAGGGAGAGGTTCAACTTCCTTTACCTCCTCTTCGTGGACATGCTTGCGAGGAGGGAGAGGTTCAACTTCCTTTACCTCCTTTTCGTGGACATGCTTGCGAGAAGGGAGAGGTTCAACTTCCTTTACCTCCTCTTCGTGGACATGCTTGCGAGGAGGGAGAGGTTCAACTTCCTTTACCTCCACTTTGTGTACACGCTTTCCATGGGTTGGTCGCCGTGGAGGTTGACAGTAAGATTCATCTTCATCCTCATCGTCGTCATCTTCATCCTCATCTTGCCATTTGGGGCTGATCACGCTGAGACCTTGCTCCAGTTTCACGATCTGCTTCATTTCGTCTTCTGGAGACAGAAGTTTCTCTGCGATGTCTTCGTCGATGTTGAGGGATTTTGCTAAAAAGCCTTTGCTGAAGCCACTGAGCACGTTGCCACCTTCTTCCTCCACCTGCTGTGCTTTTATTGCCAATGGGTGCTCTATATCTGGGTTACCAGCAAGGTAAAACACCTACAAACCCACCCATTATAAATTAGTATACAGGAAAATATTTTACTGATGCAACTTGTGAAAGAATGACAAATGAAGTTGATTAAGTATATGTTTACACAAACTTCTCTCTCTAGGTTATTATTATTATTATTATTATTATTATTATTATTATTGTTTTTAATGTTTCCGGAAAACTTTGTAACATATCCTAAATTACATACTCTGGGACGCTTATCAAGCTGGTTGTCTATGCTAGAGGTGTCAAGAAGACTGATGGCAACAAGAGGTTCATCGCCCGTGTTGTAGGTCCAGTAAGGAACACCAGCGGGAATCATGAGCATGTGACCCTGTTTGAATTGACGAATCTTCTGGTGGCTGTCTGATGGCGTTTTCTGCGAGCTCGAACCAGATTGATCTGCTGGCTCCTCAAACATCGCAGGACATCCCGGCATTGCAAATCCAATCGCTCCCTTTCCTGTAGCCCTCACACACAACTCACATCAACCACCAAACAAAACAACTCAAATTATCGACTAGTGAACCTCTTTAGTCATAATGTGTAGTGTTAGATAACAGAATAAATGCACTACAGATAATGTGGTTTGATGTTGAAACTGCAATCAACAATAATCGGCAAGCGTAATTAGTGTATGACCCAGTAGAGAGAAAGTAAATTCATGGTAAGAAAGAGAACGATTTATTACCTTGGACGATCATGATCATCTGGGTATAAGGTGAGTAAGATGGCATGTGGAGGCCATTGGTGTATAAGGTGCGTTTGCTAAAAGTGACGCCAGCACATTTTAGCTCAGGGTGTTTTGGGCTCCACGTCTCAATTATACCACCTTCGCACTCAACACGGTGGTCGGGTTCCAACACGTTGAGGCTGTCAAGTTGGCACTGGTTGAACCTTTGGGTGCCGATGCTACCAAAGCATGCACTTGCCAAGAGCAGCACACAAAGACAAGAAAGAGAAAGCGTGAAGAGCCTCGTCATGTTGAGGTAATGGACGAAAAGAAATGTTGAAGGGGTTGGTGAAGTGTAGAACATGAAGGGTTGTGATTTTATAGGGAAGAGAAGAGAGTGAGGGAGGGACACGTCAGTGAAGGTGAGTTACTGAGTTGGTGACATTCTTCACCTTGCATGGCTGTGGCTTCCAAATTTGTAACACCTCATAAGCTTTGTGGGCTCACCTAGCTTCGTGCTTGGCATGATCTTTCAAAGAATCAAATTGAATTTGTATGCTTCGTTTGTCTCTGCAACAGCGCAGATGTTAAAAAATTGGAGGCACCCTCTGCATGGTCCCCTCACCAGATTCTCCACATCTCCATGTCTATCCACTTGTACATTGAATTTACGGTGTTTGATTCTTTTGGTTTAATGATTTTTCCAGAGAGTGTTGGAGAAGGTGAGTTACACATGCATGTGTGCATGTGCATGTTTATCATATCATATTAACTTACTTACACGTGCATTTCTTATTTTGTTATTGCTACACTCCAATAATTTATAGAGGTGTCGATTCTACGCGTATAACATTGATGGGTTTATCTATGCGTATTGAGGAAGACGATGCAAAGTGGTAGTAGTGAGAGAAAGAGAAGCAAAAATAATTGTTTAAAGAGTTATAAGAGGAATTTATATATCACTAAACATTTTACTCTAGAGTATAATCCTCTAAAAATGTCTAATTTTAGTTTATAAAGTAGCACATGGTAAATAAATTAAAAAGCATCTAGTATATTCCTTTAAAAAATCTATTATTAGTGTCAAATTTGATGGCGTGCGTATCTTTAATCTAACAAAAAAATAGTTAAGATTTAAACAAATTTGATAATAAAAATAAATAAGCAAGCATATGTAGTAATTATATGGTTATAATTATTAGCAAAATTATATATAAAAAATGAGTAAAATAATATTAAAGTTTAAAAGTTTTTTTTTCTTCTTTACCCTGAAAAAATCATCTCCGGTCTTCAAATTTATACTTCTCAAAGAAAAATACAAAAAATTCATAATTTTAAAATATTTTATTGACTCATATATCTGTATTAGGTTCTCAGCTATGAAATTATTCATGTTAACTTACACTTAGCTTTCAATTATGTGATGAATGTCATTATTTTTTATTTCACTACAAGAAAAATGACATTTAGCCACCGAAATTAGTGACCGAATTTTTTTTGTCGCAAATAGCGACCGATTTAATTTTGGTCGCAAATAGCAACCGATTTAGCGACCACTTTAATTCGGTCGCAATTAGCGACCGATTCAACGACCACTTTAATTCGGTCGCAATTAGCTGACCGATTTAGCGACCAAAATATGAATTGGTTTTCATTTTGTTATTTAGCTGATCTAAATAGCGACCAATAATTTGCGTCGCAAAATTTCTGGTCGCTAAATCGATGGCTATTCCACACTAAAATAAAAAAATCATTTAGCGACTAATTTAGCGACCGAATTACAAATTGAAATAGTGACCGAATTATAATCGATCGCTAATGAGAAAATAGCTGATCGAATTGAAATCGGTCGCTAATGAATATTATTTTTTTATTATATTTAAATTTTTTTTATAAATATACTTTAATTTTTTAGTATATTTTTTACAATTTATTTTTTAAAAGTAATTTAGTTTTTAAAAATAATTTAATTTTTAAAATATACTTTAAAAATAAACTTTGGTCTCAATATTAACAAAATGAATTGTAATAAATCAAATTTATTAAAAATTTAAATTGTAATAAATTAATACTAGAGTGATGTTAACTATTCAATACATTGTTTAAGAAAAGTTTAATAACAAATATTCTTGAATTTATTTTTCAATTGAAAATTTCAATTGAAATTAATTTATATTTTAAAAATTTATATTAAAAAATTGAAGAAAATAGAGATTTAATTATACTTTTAATAAATTTAACATAATAATAGTTTTGATTTTTATTTTTAAATATTTATTTTAATTTTTTAAAACAGAGAAACTATAATTTTAGTTTCTAAATACTAAATTTAAAGAGTTAAATTTATTATTATTTAATCTTTTAATTTTAGTATTAAAAATTTAAATTATATTTTAATACCTTGAGAATGAAAAATATAATTAAACTAAAACTGAAAATATTATAATACATTTTTGAACTCTTTTTGATTAATTTTTTGTTCCTAATTTTTTATAAAGTCAATTTTAATATTTAAAAGTATTTAACATTTTGCTTTCTGAAATGTTTTCTCGTATTACCAAATTCCAATATTAGAGAAACCAAGTGCCCAAATTCCAGGCACCAAACAATACAAAAAGAATGTAAAGAAATGAAAAAGAAGAAACTAGAATGTTCAAACCAGCTTTATGCAATTCTCGTAAGTGTTTCTTCTTCAAAAGAAATCAAGTTGCCTCAAGAAAGATTTTCAAAGAACTTCTCAAAAACTCGATGCGAATCTTTCTTGAAAAGAGTGCTCGAAGTTTGCTTGATTGATTGCTCAAGGATGTGTAAAAGATGATATTCAATGTATGTTAAAAAAGTTCAAGCCAAACTGTTTTAATAGAAGATTTTCAAAATCATCTGGTTTAATTAATCTGTTAAAAGATTCTTTTAATCTGTTAAAAGTGCAGCTTTAATCTGTTAAAACTTCTTTTAATCCATTAATACGTTCTTGATTCTTTAACAGATTTGTTTTAACTCGATACGACAACGTTTATATCAATTAAAACACTTTACAAAAAATCCTCTAAGTTGATTTAATCGATTGTTTCACGATTCAATCGATTGAAATACTCGCAAAACTTTCTTGTAAAACTTTTCAAGTTATTTTAATCGATAAAAATAAGTTTTAATCGATTAAAACTCGTGTAGAAATTTTTAAGTTGTTTTAATCGATTGAAACAAGTTTTAATCGATTAAAATCGCTTCGATCGGTCATAATTGCATTATGATCGATCATCCTGAACTCTTAAGTGATTTTAATCGATTAAAATCAAGTTGTATCGATTAAAATATTGTCATTTCGCTTGAGCGACATTGGTCTCGCTCGAGCTAAACGCCTACTCGCACAAAATTGGCATTCTCGGGTTGTATTTCGCTTGAGCGACACTACACTCGCTCGAGCGAAATACGATTCTGATCGATCATAACTTGAAGTGATCGATTATAATTTAGAGGATATAATAGCGGTTAGGAATTAACCGCTATCTAAAATGTATTTAAGATAGCGGTTATGTGTTAACCGCTATCTAAATCATATTTTAGATAGCGGTTAAGCGTTAACCGCTATTAGAAGTGTTCTTCGCTCAAGCGAAAGTGAAATCGCTCGAGCGAAACGCCCCTGCACAAAATTGACATTCTCGGGTTGTATTTCGCTTGAGCGACTCTAGTCTCGCTCGAGCGAAATCCGATTCTGATCGATTATATTTTCTAAATGATCGATCATATTTGATAATTTTTTCAAATAATTAATTATAATCGATTAGTTTTCTAAATTATTGATTAGAATTGATTAGTTTTTCAAATAATAGATTAGAATGTATTAATTTATGAAATTTAAAATTAAAAATATAGATTATTTAAGAATATTAACTATTGTAAAGATAAAGTAGAACATGGGATGAGATGAGGATGATAATATAATGATAGAAGTTACAAAAATGTAGAATTGAGAAGTTTGAAACAAAAAAAATGAAGATAATACTAGTTTTGATATTGATTTTTATTTTAATTATTTAAAACAGAGAAACTATAATTTTAGTTTCTAAATACTCAATTTAAAGAATTACAATATAATTACAATAGAATTACAATATAATTACAATATAATTACAATATATTTTATTAAATTAAAATAATTACAATATAATTTTCTACTTTGAGAATGAACAATATAATTAAGAAGATCAAGTCTAATGTTATTGATGCTAATTTTAACAATAATACAATAATATTATTTTCGAAAACGCCCATATGAATGTGAATATTTTGATTATTATTATATAAAATAATTAAAAGAATAAGGTAAATATTATATAAAATAATTAAAAGAATAAGGTAAATAGAAAAGTAAAATGCATGGTTATACCACTTTCCTTTTAATCTATAATTAGTTAGGTATGAATCAAATGTAAAGTCTAATGTTATTGATGCTAATTTTAAGAAGATCACAAAATGTAAATTAAAATAATTACAATATAATTTTCTACTTTGAGAATGAACAATATAATTAAACTCAAAATTGAGAATACTCTTATACATTTTTGAACTCTTTTGGATAAATTTTTTTTCCTAATTTTTGATAAAGTTAATTTTAATATTTAAAACTATTTAACATTTTGAATTCTGAAAGGTTTTCTCTAATAGCAAATTTAAAAACATAATATTCAAAAAATATTTTAAGATTGTGAATTTTCGGGTTGTATTTCGCTTGAGCGCAGTATTCTCGCTCGAGCGAAATAAGATTTTGATCGATCATACCTTGAAATAATCGATCATAATTGAGAGGATATAATAGCGGTTAGGGGTTAACCGCTATCTAAAATGTATTTTAGATAGCGGTTATGGGTTAACCGCTATCTTAATCATATTTTAGATAGCTGTTAAGCTTTAACCGCTATTAGAAGTCTTATTCGCTCAAGCGAAAATAAAATCGCTCGAGCGAAACGCCCCTGCACAAAATTGGCATTCTCGGTTGTATTTCGCTTGAGCGACTCTAGTCTCGCTCGAGCGATTTTTTCTCTGATCGATCAGATTTTTGAAATGATCGATCATATTTGATAATTTTTTCAAATAATTAATTATAATCGATTAGTTTTATAAATTATTGATTAGAATTGATTAGTTTTTCAAAGAATAGATTAGAATTGATTAATTTCGAAATATATACTAAAAAATTATAAATAAAAATATAAATTAGTTAAGAATATTGACTATTGTAAAGATAAAGTAGAACATGGGAGGAGATGAGGATGATAATATAGTGATAGAACTTACAAAAATGTAGAATTG